CGGGGGCGACACTGAGGGTTGCGATCCGTTGCCGGACACGGAAAAAGACAAAAAAAAAAAAAAAAAAAAAGGGGAATAGCTAACAGTTGCAGGGAGAAAAAGCTCAGAGGCCAAAATAACAAGAATTTGGGAAACATGACCATTAAAAAACACCAAAACAATGGAGTATAGATTCAAACAAAAGAAGAAATATTAGAATAATTAGCCAAGAACACGTAAAAGTGATGAGCAGCATGAAATACTACCAATATGAAACAAAATATTAAAGGAACCAAGCAATAATTAGGGATGAAAATTATAACAGATGGTTAATAACACAAAAGATGAGTTAAATATCAGAACAGATATATTTGGGGGGAAATTAGCTAATTTTCAAGGAAGTCTTCTAGAAAGAAGGCAAGAACAAAGAAATAATATAAAAAAACTTCCAGAACAAAAAGAAATATAGAAAGGAACACAAGTCAGACTGACAGCAGATTTTTTTAACAGCAACACTGTATGCAAAAAGACAATTGAGAAGTATTTTCAAGATTGTAGGAAAATAAACCTAGGATATTCAACAAAATTGTCATTCATATATAAAGGCATGGTTCTTAGGCATACAGAGTCTCAAAAATTTTACCTCACAAACCCATTGAAAACAATTTTGGTTTGAGGTACTTAAAAAAGGGACAGAAAAATCCAAAAGATGCTATAAGATATATATATACGGAAAAGGTGATCAAACACCTTCATATATTTGTTATCTGGAAAAAAAAAAAAAAGCCAAGGTCAAAGAAAAAGAAAAAATAAATCAACAATATCCCAGTCTAGTTAACAGTAACATGATGGGGGTGAAAGGGAGCAAGTTCTTTTCTTACTAGGGAGAAGATTCGGATACTTAATAATTAGCTGGGGGAAAAAAAGGATTAAAATGAAACAGTGAAATGTTTCACATTAAAATTGAAACAATAAATCATGATGGCAGAAACATATTTAAAAGAATGAGAAGGAAAGACCAGGCAATTATTAACTAAAGAGAGCTAGTATAGTTATATTAAAACCATAAAACAGATTTTAAGGAACTTATTTTGAGGTATCAAGATACACCCTGAAATAGTGAAAGTGGGTGGCCAATGAGAGAATGTGGTAGGGTTGAGGAGTGGGAGAGGTAACCTAGGCTTTTGATAGCTCTCCAGGTCTTGTGTCTAGTCCTTCGTGAAGTCACCCTAGTTGCTGTCTTTCAGTTCCCTAAGATATCCAGATATTCTTCCCATAATTTCCCTTCTTTCCTTAAGCATATTAAAAAGTAGGCTTCTTTTACTTGCAACCAAAAGGGCTTTACTACAATAGAGGTTTCTATGGGTACTTAGTAAATATTAACTAAAGAGAGACCTTAACACAGTAGGTAGTAGACTCACCATCATCAGGTTTCTTCACAAATTTGACTCCTAGTTCTTCAAATCTTTTACAAGCACCATGTACATCAGGAACAGCAATTCCAATGTGACCTTAGGTGACATCCCCCGAAAAATATGCAGAGAGAAGGAATAATCACAACACAGTGTCCAAGTGCCACAAACAGCTTCCAAAACTATCTATTTCAAAACATAAGGCACTTGAAAACAGATTAAGTGAAGTAGGTTCAAAATCTATAATATATTAAAGAACAAATATAGGTTTAACTGGCTGGGTGCAATAAAAAACTATTTGCTCTGAATTTTAAGTTATTTAAAATAAACCAATATTGGCTAATATATAGTTCAATCTGTTTATAATCTATACCAAAAAAAATAGGTTTGTTGTTGGCATTGAGTATTTAGTAGCCAACTGAAGCCTATAATCCTGTCATCTTGACTGAGAGATTTCAGATCAAGGCAGAAGTACATGCTAGCAGAAATTAGGATTACTATTAACCATAGTTTTTTGGGTTTTTTTAAATTAAAAAGTCTACTGGAAATATAATATTGAGACTTAAAAGTAAAATCATTGTGAGAGAGTAAATGTAATGTTCAGACAGAGACTTTGAAATTAACTCCTAAATAAGATTACTTATGGAAAATTAAAATAACCATACTGCTAATAAATTGATTATATGATTATACAGTACTTAATAATTTGGCCATTAATGTTTTAGGGTTATTATAATCATAAATATGTACACAAATAGGCAAACATACCAAATCCTCGAGGGTCTGAATTGCCACTGTGGTAACTCTGGGTCTCATCATCTTCAGTGCCCCAATTGCTACAAAAGGAGGGAAAACATAACTATAATTGTCCCGTAGAACAGATATTCTGAAAAGAAAGTTGCAATAATCTGTCTTTGAAATCTTACCATGTGTATATGTTACTTTACATACTTGGCCTAACCCCTGCTACTACAAATATTGTTTTCAGCTGAAGAAGGGCAAATGGGCAAAGAATAATTTTAACTAGATGTAAAGAGACAGTAAAACCAGGCATCTGGATCAGAAGAATAATTATAATAATAGCAACTATCATTCACTGTGCTAAGAACTTTATATTTCATTAATCCCTCAAAACAGCTCCACAGGTTAGATTTGAATATCTACATTTTATAGATGAGACTGCCACTGAATTTTTTTTAGGGTCATAGAACTAGTGTCAGAGCCAAGAACCGTGTCTAGGTCTGTCTGATTCCAAAGCTTTGTCAAGGGATACAACTAAATCACACAACCCTAAAACAAATGCTCTTTTGGTAGTTATTAAAGAATGCAAAGAAACAATGTAAAGAAATCATCTAAATTTTTAAATGTGGAAATTATAAAAATACCTTAAAAGTTGAACGTTTATTATTACAAAATGTTTAACTTTTTAAAAGAACATGTAACATTTCTGGATCACAAATGCAGCAAAATAATAAAAGAATAAAATTTTTAATGCTGGAAGACTTTAGTTGTATTACCTAAATATTGCTTAGCTACAGTTTGGCAAATATCTTACCATTTCAGAGTCTTATACTGTCTATGTAAAAAACAATTGATCTCACTTGCCCTACTATGCCATAAGAACAATGGAAAGACCAAAAGATCCATGTAAAAACACTCAAACAACCTGTTATGAATGTGAAGTGATTAAGTAGACCTGGTTTGAACTAAACTGGTAAGAAAAAAAAATTTTTTTTTAAAAACCACTTTTAAAAAATCTAGAATATATGGGCCGAGCCCATGGCGCACTCGGGAGAGAGCGGCGCTCCCACCGCGGGTTCGGATCCTATATAGGGATGACCGGTGTGCTCACTGGCTGAGCGCAGTGCGGCGGTCTCAAAAAGGACAAAAATAAAAATAAAAAATAAAAAATCTAGAATATATAAAAAGATAAAAACTAATACTCACTGTGTCAGCTCAAGTGTAGCTTTTCTGGAGAATATCCATGCTATTTTTTCATCCTTATCTTCAGGGATGTCGTTTTTATCCTCATAAGCCAAGAAATAGAGTGAAAATCTCATAGTAAGAAAATCGAATTTTTGGAGTAGCCTGAAATTAAGAAAGAAGCCTAAATCATTAACAATAGGAAAGGCTGATTCATACTAAAATTAACATAACTTAATATTCAAGTTTTACTAAGAGTAAGAGCTATATGTAGTGAGGCTATTTTAATGGGAAAAGCAGGGGGAAAATCAGTGGGAAAAATCTCATTAAAAAATCTATTCACGGGCCAGCCCGGTGGCGCACTGGAGAGTGCGCCGCTTGGGAGTGCGGTGGCGCTCCCGCCGTTTTTCTTTATGTCCCTCTTATTTCTTCTAAGTTGTTATTTTGAAAATGTTTTCTTATGATTCTCAACTCTCATTTTCCTTCCCTCTCTAAGGAATTTTCTTAGGTTGGACCATATGAAATTGCCATCATTGTAAATCAAAAATAGTTGAATATCAGCAATTTCATATGGTTCAGCCTAATAGTTTTCTTCAGTGCCTAGCACATGGCCTAGCAGATGCTCAATTAGGATTTGTTGAATTAAATATCTATTCACGGGCCAGCCCGGTGGCGCACTGGAGAGTGCGCCGCTTGGGAGTGTGGTGGCGCTCCCGCTGAGGGTTCAGATCCCATGTGGAGACCGGTTCCCGCTCACTGGCTGAGCGCAGTGCGGGCGCAACACCGAGGGTTGCGATCCCGTTACCGGTCAGTAAAAAAAAGACAAAAAGGAAAAAAAAAAATCTATTCACCTATAAATATCAGTGAAATACAAAAATAAAAAGGCAAACATATTCAAAAGAGAATTTTGCTTATTTGCAGTGACAAATACAATGTATTACCTTACTGTTCTTTCAAATATATATGCCACTCAGTTTAATAAATACATTTATTGGGTTCCTACTATGCCAAAATTTCTAGGAAAGAAATAGGTGGTAAGAGAAGGAATAAGAATCAGATGGCATCAAATACTGCAGAAAGGTCAAACAGGATTAAGACAGAAAAAGTCACATGATATAGAATGGTCCTGTGAGAGCAGTTTCAGTAGCACGGGGCAGCAGAAGCCGGACTGCATCAAACTGGGAGAAAGAATAGGAGGTGAGCAAGTAAGACAGCAGCAAGTGCAATCTACCGATATAGATGGATGGTGACAATGGGGAGGTGGATGAAAGGGCAGAGGGCAAGAACATTCTAGAAGAAAAAAGACTTAGGCTTGTTGAATGGAGTAGGTTGAACGGAGTAAGTGGAAAAGTGAGACTGATGTAAGAAAGAGTGAATGAATTACTAATCCTGAGGTTTTAAAAAAGATAATTGAAGTTATGAACTATAAAGTGAGTTTGGAGTGTACAATTACTTTACAAGGAGTGAGGTAAAATGAGGATGCATATAACACAAATTTTTTTAGATTATGGAGGATTAAATGCTTAAAGATGACCTTGTTCATAATCAAGAGCAAATGGTTGAAGCATAGCAAATGAAAAATTTCTAAAGTTCTCCAAATCTTTAATTATCACTGCTGTGTAATATGCCTTGGCCCACTGAGATCCACGCTCTGACTTACTACAAGTAAGGTTTACTCTAACGTGTTTATAATAAAGCATCAAACATCTCAAATACTCCAGTCATGAAAATCTATCTCTGTGCCTACTAAAGCAGACTTCACAAGGCTTACAGACCAATCAGATGGGAACTGAAGCAAATAAACCTGCTTCAAATTGCTTTTCTCTGCAAGGCCTATCTTTCAGCTTATTGTCAAGTTGTATCCTATTTCAGGGCTCTTTAAAACCAAGGTCAACATTGGAGTCAATAAGACATGGATTCAAATTCTAGCTCTGCCACATGCCAACTGTGAGATTTGGGGCCAGTAACTTCATCTCTTTAAGCACTGGTTTCCTCATCTGTAAAATGAGGAATAAACTACCTCATAAGCCTACTATGAAGACTGAAAGAAACAACACGTGAAGTGCCTGGCAAATAGCAAGTATTCAATAAATTGTTTTCATTCTGTCCTTTAAATATGCCACAAATGTATGCATAACTACTTTTTCTGGAAAGAAACACAAGAAACTTAATAGCAGTAATCTTTGGGGAAAAGGACTAGGGGAGGGAAGCTATCACTTTTCATTTTGTATTTTTCTAAGCTGGCCAAAGTTTTTAAACATACACATATATCTGTATTACTTGAATTTTTCTCTCAATGTTAGTGGAGATTATCTAGGCAGTAAATTAAAGATCATTTTATTTGGGCCGGCCCGGTGGCGCACTAGATAGTGCGCCGCTTGGGAAGCGCGGCGGCGCTCCTGCCCGAGGGTTCGGATCCCACATACAGACCGGTTCCCGCTCACTGGCTGAGCGAGGCGCGGGAGCAACACCGAGGGTTGCGATCCCGTTGCCGGTCCTGGTCCGGTACGGGGGCGACACTGAGGGTTGCGATCCATTGCCGGACACAGAAAAAGACAAAAAAAAAAAAAAAAAAAAAAGATCATTTTATTTTATTCTTTACATATCTATATTATCAAAAACAAAAAACTCATGTTATTTAGGGAAACAAATCAAGAAAAACAAAGTTTGTCAATTATACCCAATAAAGCTGGGGAAAAGAGAAAAATAAATTAATATGCTTTTAGGACTGCAAGATCAGAGGATATTACATGTTCAGCAAAAGAAAACACAGCCCATAAAAATGGAACAAATGGCTAGATTTAAGTAAAGCCATTCATTTTCTGAGTAATATGTACTTACAGCTATATGTTTTCTGAAATAAACAAGAGACTAGAAGTGGTCAGAACATCAAAAGGGGTCTGAAGATATTAAGGATTTAGAGCATAGCTCCTAGAGAGAAGGGTGATTAAAGAAAATCCAAGTATTTGTGTATTGTTGCCCACTGAGCCTAGCTGGGATAGAGAAGAAAAGGAACTTCACACAAGCCCTGTCCAGTCAGGCCTAGTCACAGACTTCTGGCCAAAAGAACTTTTGTTATTTCTAAAACAAACTTTAATTTTAAAAATAGATCTGAAAACATTCCCTGTGTTTGCAAAGCTATGTATTTAAACATTAAGGTTTACTTACGTCATTCCAAGAACTCTAGTATAAAAATCCAATGACTTCTTAGGATCCTTAATTCGTATCATAGTCTGCTGCAATATAAAATCCTAAGAAGACACAGTACACATTGTATTAAACACCTTTAATTTTTGCCACTTATTACTTTGAAAGTTGTCAGAATCAAAATGGAGTCACATGTGTCAAATTCTAACAAAAAATAAAGCAAGGATGCTGAGAAGAGAGGGCCCTCACTCATATATGCCTATGATAAGAATTATTACAAAGACTCTCTTATACACACATGCCTGTAACAAGAACTTTTGCCTCGGACCTTTCAAACTGCAACTTGCTACATGAGTCACAAGGACAGCTAGTTGGATGCACAGGAACACTTGCCTGATACTCTCTCCACTACTGAACTGGCATCAACTCCTGTGATAAGCCCCTAAAACAAATGCTGTCTTTGTTTCAAAACAAATTACACGTACTTTTCTCTTTTGCCTTTAAAAACCTTCGTCTTCCTTTACCTCCCCAAATACACAGATATATAATTTACTATGGCACACATATTCCCATTACAATGTTCTATTCCCAGTTAAACTCATTATCCTTTTAGACAGCCTCTCTCTTTGCAATTTAGGTTGACATTACCAACATTAATTGTGCTTTCTGTAACAAGATACAAATGGTACACCACTGTAACACAAGGTTAAAAAAAAAACAAACAAACTTTGTCCTCTCAGCCTACAATGGATATCATCTGGAAACATTTCCATACCTACCACCTACAATGTCTGTGGCTCTCTGCTCAGTGGTGTTTTCTGGTTGCAAGTCCCTATGTGGGGGCAGGTCCAAAGTGCCAAGGAGTTTACACCCCAAGAATGGCCCTCAACCAATAGTGGATAAAAGGCTTGGCTTCCTTGCCCCTTAGTGGGACAATTCCGAGGCATGTTCCACACAGTCCCTCAGAGGCTCCCAGCAGGACTGAACCCCAGTTACCCACAGTGGTAATCTACCCACATATACCTATTATTGGCCTCCCTTCCCCAATCCACAGGGCTTTCTGTAACCACTTCCAATAAACTACTAACAACTACATTCTTGTCTCTAGTCTGCTTTTGGGTGACCGAAACTAAGACACTGATGTTATAAATAAAGAGTTCAATCACCATAATATTTGTTGAATGAAACCATAAATGCCCTTCCAGAACCATTAACTGATAACCATGTAAATTAGCAACGAGTTACTAACAAGAACTTAGACTCCTAAATAACTAAAAGGATAAAAAGTAACTGTCTCTAACACCTGTGTGTAACTGTCTCTAACACCTTTGTAAAAATGTTCAATTTATACACATCAGGAAACAGAAGGCTTGACTGATAAAAGGGTAGAGTTTATTAATTCATGGAGTTAAGATTATTATTAGCATTAATAGTAATACTTTGCTAAGGAGTTTGACATAATTAGGTACAATAACTCTATGAGGTATTACTATCTATAGGTACTAATATCACCATTTTATAGATGAGAAACTGACACTGAGTGATTAAATTAATTGTCCAAGCCTTCTAAGTTTAGGACTCCTTTTACCATAGCTACCTTTCAGACCATGAGCCTGTTAACCTCATCACTGCTTCCCAACTGATTTTTTTTGTTATACCCATGGACTTGACAAAACAGACTTGAAAATTTTGACCACTCCCTTTGTAGCCACATAGCCATTTCTCCCCTGTAACTCACATCATATAAAATACAAATATACTTTATTCAGTGTCATTAAGAAATGATGTTTTTCTATTTTGCTGAATTTTAAGTTACCAAAATGTACTCTTTTAAGCATTAAACATCTTATTTAAAACAAAATTAGCCTTGAAAACTACTTTATCTTATTAAAACTGACCTCAATAATTAAATTCTTCATTCACAGCTGATAATCACATATAAGGCATTTGGCTCTGAAGTTACATGTTTCTAGAATATTTGGGTTGCTTTTCTTTGTTAGGTGCTACTCTCCTAAAGGTCTCTGTTTTTTAGCAAGCAGCCTAGAAAGTGGAAAAGCAGCTCCTGACTGTCCGGTGCTGGCCTGGCATTCACGACTAGGCCTTGGTTTTCTCCTGTTGAACATAATTATAAAAACACCTACAAAGTCACTCTGTGACGACAATGAAGTGAGAACAAAAATAAAAACTTTTAAAAAATGTTTAAAAAGCCACAAGACCACTTTAACTTCATATCATTTTCTAAGCACAGATTAAAAGAAGGCACTGTGATTACTACAAAAATAGCAAACATTCCCTTCTCCCAGCTAAAATGAATGACTGCTCCCCCCTCTCTATCAGTTACAACGTTTGCTTGAGGAGGCCAACTCCAGGACAAAATCCTACGGGTGATCTTTCAGACCAGACCACAGGCAATTACAAAGGCTTTAGCTGGAAGGCCTCATGGGATAAAGCTCTCCTCCTCCCCCCCAGACTTGCTGTTCAGGGAAAAAGAAAAAAAAAAAATACAGCCAGGCGGGTAGTTACGAGCAGAGGTCTGAAGATGAGACAGACTTGGTGCTCAGCCCGTGCACTGCAGTCTCCGGGGTGAGTTGCAGGGCAGGAACTAAATTCTAAAGATGTCCCTAGTTATTCTATCAAACACTAATTTAGGTGCTGCTGTGAGGGACTTTGCAGATGGAATTAAGATTACTAATCATCTGGCTTTGTAATAGGGAGATTAGCCTGGATTATTTAGGTGAGTTCAATGTAACCACATGAGACCTTAAAAACAGAAGAGGAAGGCAGAGGAGAGGTATGGCAGTAGGTGATGTCAGAGAGATTTCAAGTGTGAGAAGGAGTCAACCTGTGTGGGTGCTGGCTCTGAGATGTAGGCGCACAAGTGCATGGAATTAAAAGTGGACACCCCCACTCATTCGCAGCTAATAGCCAGCAAGGAAACTGGGACCTCAGTCCTGCAACTGAAAGGAAATGAATTCAGGCAACGACCTGAATGAGTCTGGAAGAGGATTCTTCTGGAGAGCCACCAGTAAGAAATGCAGCCCACACAATACCTTGATTTTAAACCAGTGGGACCCATGTCAGATTTCTAAACTACAAGAACCATGAGATAAAATATTTTCAGTAAAGCTGCATCCAATGTCATTGGTCTCTTCTTCAGTTAAAAAAAAAAAGTATAAAATCTAAAAACTACCTCTTAAAATCTGTTCTGTAGTGATCCAGTTAACCATTTCACCAATGACACATTGGTCACATTCATATTTTGTCTCTTCAACATCTTTCTAGTATCAACATTTAGTACTGCTAGACTACAAATGATTATCGTTGCTTCTGTTCAGTCCATAAAGGCTATACTCAAATCCATGTACTTCAGAAGTTGTTTGTTTTTGCTATAGATGCTGTGCGATGTACTTGTCAAAGAAGTTGGACAATCCTACTTATCCCTATCTACAACCTTCTAGAAAGCTATTTGCATTTCAAGAGTCTTCAAGAATTCACACTCTTTGGCCAAGATGTTTCCCTTTCTAAAAATCTATCTGAGGAAATTTTAGAAACTCTGACAAAGATTTATGTACAAAGACAGTCATTACAACACTTATACAATAATTGTGTAAGAGATGTTCTAAGAGATTTACAGAAAGTAATTCATGTAAGCTTCATAACAACCCTATGAGGTATGTGTTATTATCATCCCCATTTTACTGCTGAGAGTTACGTGGCAGAGAAAAACCTCCAGCCCATGCAATCCAGTTCCAAAGTCCTTGCTTTCAACCACCTTGCTAAACTGCCTTTAATAACAAAGAATTAGTCAGATAAAGTATGACACAGGCAAAATAGAATATTATGAAGACATTTAAAATGCTGCTTAGAAGTATATAGCATAAGGATAGGCACATGGTATATTAAGTTTAAAAAGCAAAATATACATGTATAAATAGTTTTATTTAATATGCTATTAAGATTATTTCTTAAAATTAATGTTAAAGCCTTTAATTTTATTATCTATTAACAAAGCTATATATTATATGTCTAAATACATACATAAAAATGAATATCAAAATTAACTTTAAAAAATTTATAAATGGCAAAATAAAAATACAATGGTACTTCGAAAGGTGCGTAGAAAAATAAAATTAAAATACTAATCTTTCCATGACCTTTTGGAAGACCTCTCATAAATTCACTATTAGTAGATTTATTAATAAAACAGAGGTTTAAAATCCTTCACTATGATTTGTTACATGGATGACATAAAAAACAAGGCTTGCTGTTTATAAAATAATCAAGTTACTCTGTGCTCAGATAGTTTTCTATCACCAAAATACTCTTGTTAACTCCCTGTACTTCTGGCAAACACTTGCATAATCTTGTGAAAAAGTTCCTGTTTTAAAAAGTTTAGTCCTTAAAAATTACTGTTGTTTATTGTTTTAGTTCTAAAATATTGTTTAAAATATATCTTGTGTTCAAAAAGTAAGACTTATGTTCATGTCTTGTCTCATCTGAGAATTCTTAACTGTCTTTCCCCTATCATGCTCTAAATTTGGAACAATAAAAGATGTCTTTTATGCCCAAACTCTCTTTGAGTTTCCTGGGATGGCTACCAGGTGACAAAGATTTGCTCCTTTGCCTTATGAAAAGGTAGAATAATAGACCTAATCCATTTGGGCGGCGGGTGGGGGGAGTAAATTTAACTACCTCAAAACTACTGTGAGAAAACTTCAAAGGTACAATCAAAGATGTTTCCAATGCATGACCTACTTGCCTACAATATAATCCTAACAAAACTGTAAAAGTGGGACAGGTACGTGAACCAAAGGATCAAGACCCCTTTGAGCACCTCTAAATGGATTTTTTTTTTTTTTGGTATAAGGTATGAGACTTAGGTAGAGCTTTATATTTTAACCTATGGATGTCAATTGTTGTGGCACCACTTGTTGAAAAGGCTCTCCTCCATTGAACTTTTTCATCTTTGTCAAAAATCTGTTGTGTAGGCCGGCCCGGTGGCGCACTGCTACAGTGCGCCGCTTGGGAGTGCGACGGCGCTCCCGCCGAGGGTTCGGATCCCACATACAGACTGGTTCCCGCTCACTGGCTGAGCGAGGTGCGGGTGCAACACCGAGGGTTGCGATCCCGTTGCCGGTCCCGGTCCGGTACGGGCGCAACACTGAGGGTTGCGATCCGCAACACCGAGGGTTGCGATCCCGTTGCCGGTCCCGGTCCGGTACGGGCACGACACTGAGGGTTGCGATCCGTTGCCGGACACAAAAAAAGACAAAAAGGTAAAAAAAAAAAAATCTGTTGGGCATACTTGCATAGGTCTATTTCTGGGTTCTCTATTCCATCCCACTGATCTGTGTCTTTAACTTTCTGCCAATACCACATAGTGATTACTGTAGTTATGCAATGTCTTAAAATCAGTTAGACAAATTCTTCCCATTTTCTTCTTTTTTCAAAACTGTTAATGTAGCTTTTTTGCCTTCTGCTATACTTTAAATGTGTCCCCCAAATTTCATGTGTTGAAAACTTAATCCCTAAATTCATGTTGATTGGAGATGGGGAGGTTCTTTTGGGAGGTAATTAAGATTACAGAAGGTGTAAGGTGTAATTAGGATTAAGAAGGTGAGGCTCCCATGATGGGACTGGCGACTTTTAAAGAAGAGAAAGAGCAACCTGAACTGACATGCACACTCTTGCCCTTCCACCATGTGATCCCTCCACCATATCATGATGCAGCAAAAAGGTCCTCATCAGATGCCGGCACCATGCTCTTGCACTTCCCAGCCTCCACAACTGTGAGCTAAAAACTTCTTTTCTTTATAAATAACTCAGTCTATGGCACTCTGTTATAGCCACAGAAGACAGACTTCGACATCTTCCATGTAAACTTTAGAATAATCTTGTCTATATCTAAAAAAAGACTGATAGGGATTGAGTTAAAAGTGTATCAATCTGAGAATTCACATCTTTACTACGCTAAGTTTTGCAGTCATGAACACAGTATGTATCTCCATTTACTTAGATCTTCTTTAATTCCTATTATCAGAATTAAGCATGTTTCCGGCTGAGCCCGTGGTGCACTCGGGTGAGTGCTCCCGCCGCGGGTTCGGATCCTATATAGGGATGACCCGTGCGCTCACAGCGCTCACTGGCTGAGCACGGTGCGGCCGGTCTCAAAAAGGACAAAAAAAAAAAAAAATTAAGCAGGTTTCAGCATACAAGTCCTTAAACATTTATTAGATTTATACCTAAGTATTTCATTTTGTTGAACAACTGTAAATGGTATTGTATTTTTAATTCTGGTGCCCATGTGTTCTTTGTTAGTATTTAAATATACAATTGATTTTTGTATGCTTGTTTTGTACCCTGTAACATTGCCAAACTCATTAATTCTACGAGTGTTTTGCAGATTTGTTTAGGATTTACTATTAGACAATCATGTCGGCTGCAGATAAGGACATTTGATTTTTTCCTTTCCAACTTATGTCTTTTATTTCCTTTTCTTGCATTACTGTACCGGCTAGACTTTCCAGCGCTTTGTTGAGTAAGAGTAATAAGAGGAGACATCATTGCCTTCTTACCAACAATAGGGAGAAAGCATCACCATTAAGTGTAATATTAGCTGTAACTTTTTTATAGATGCTCTTTATCAAGTTGACAAAATGCCCTATTCCTATTTTTTAACTTTTAAAAAAAATCATGAATGGGTGTTGAATTTTTTCAAATGCCTTTTCTGCATCAATTGATACACTCATTTGAGTTTTAATTTTTTTTCTTTACCTTAACATGATGGATTATATTGATTGATTTTTGAATATCAAACTAACCTTGCATCTCTGGAATAAACTTCACTTGGTCATGGTGTATAATTATTTTTATATATTGCTGAATTCTACTTGTTAATATTTAGTGAAGGAGTTTTACATCTTTATTCATTAGAGATATTGGTCTATAGTTTTGTTTTTTTGTACTGTCTTTATCTGATTTTAATAACAGGGTAACACTGCTTTATAAAAGTGTTCCTTCCCCTTTAATTTTCTGGACAGGACTGTGTATAATTGACGTTAATCCTTCTTTAATATTTGGTAGAATTCTCCAGTGAAAGCATTTGGGTCTGCAGATATCTTTTTTCAAAGTTTGTTACAGAATTTAATTTCTGTAAGTACATAAAATACTGTTATTTGGGAAATTAATTTACACTGAATGACTCAATTTATATTACATGAAATAACTAGATATTAATATTAAGGGGTATACAAGCAAGATGAGTGTGAGAGGGGATTTTTTTTTCCCCCTTCCCCCTTAATTTTGCGTTGACATTTTCCCTAAGTTAAGTACCAGGTTCTAGGCAATAGCTTTAGCAATTAGAGGTGTCTCTTTGCCCTGAAGGCAAACAGCAAGCAGGAACCAGTCATCGCTCCTCTTAGAGGTCTACATAAAGCAAATATTCAATCTTCGAGGGATTTACAAATGTTGCAGTCAAATGAATAACAACAAAGGTGTTTACTGACAATTATGACTTCACTGGAATAACCTCCCCCAAGCAGGATGCTGTGTCTAATCTTGACAACGCAGGGAGGCACCACACCTGAGTGAGTTACACTGACTCAGTACAGAGATGTTAAGTAAGTGAAAGCCGTCATAAGCAACAGGTCATTCCTCTTACTGGGTCACCACTGTAAAACGGGAGGGTCAAAGAAGGAATTTCTAAGATTACCTGGCTTCATGGTCTGTCATCTCTCCTGGGGGCCACCACGCACATGGAGGCAGAAGTGTGGTCGCAAGCAACAGCAAAAGCCAAGCAAAAGTGAAATTTGGGGCGCGGTTAAACCCCCAGCGATATTAGTTTGGAGGAGTTAAGCCTGGCGTCGGGGTGGTTACGAAAAATAACCGAAGCTGCGAGGTCCGGACCGGTATGGACAGGGACCACCGAATTTAGGACTGAGAGTTCTGAAACTGCTCTTATGGGCCATGGCGATTGACCTGGGGAACCGCACACCCACAGACAAGGAACCTGACCCTAGGTTGGCCTGGCTCCCAGTTACCGTCCCCCAATTAAACAAATTAATGCAAGTAGGGTGGCAGTCTTTGAAACAATCTGAGGAAATGGATCCCCTCCATTCTTCGTGGCTTCCAAGGATCCCCCCATCGGACACCATTAGCCTTCTTCCCTGCCCATTCCAGTCCGCCCAAAGCCGGCAGACCTGCAGCGGCGGCCGGATGGGGTTCGAATCCGGCCCGGCCCAGGCCCGGCGGAGCCCCGGGATCCGCTCCCTCTGAGGGCCCTGAAGCGGGAGAATGAGGTCCTGTGCCAACCTTGGTGCTGGGGTCCGCTTCGGAGCAGCAACTGAGGGCGGCCTCGTCAGTAAGGCCGCCGGACGCCGGCTGCAGTTCTGCCATGGCCGCACTGCGGTATCACGAACGACAGTATTCAGGAACCGAGCAGCCACAAACACGCCAACCCGCCCTTGTACTGCCGTGACTGAGGCGGTGCGACTGCGCCGGGGGGGCGGGCGGCCTCTGACTTCCAGCCAATCTCTGCGCGGAGAGCAGGTTGGCTCTCTGCTGATTGGGTCCGAGTGAGTCAGAGCCTATGCCTCAAGACTGCAACTCCCATGTTGCCTTGCACGAGCCGGAGGCAAGCTATTTAGAAAAATTACCACCGGCTGGGGACCCGTGGCTTTTCTGTTACTTAATGACCTAATTTTGTTTCTGTTTAACTATTAAAGTTCGGTGAAAGAAAGTGAGCCGAGATGCCGGCTACCGTTCAAGCTTTATTAAAGAAAGAAATCTGCTGGGCTGTGCTCAGAGTGGCACAGGGCCCAGGACTGCCCTGAAGATGGTGGACAGCACCAGGTGTAGGGGTGACATAACACCAGGTGTGCAGAGCTTATATAGTGCGCCAAGGGCTGGCTGATACCATCAAGGAGGGTCATTATGCTAATGTGGATTGGGGTGAAGAACTGCATCCTTGCGGAAGCAAAGGGGGTTTCTGTTTAAGTCAAGAGGCTTCTTACAAAGGGAAGGGGGGAGGGGAGGGGGTGGCGCCGTTTTGTACCTGGGCTTGTCTAAAGTGAGGCTGGTTATGTTGCAGATCTATTATTCGGTAACCATTCATACCCCAGGGCTGCAATTTGAAGAAAATTGGAATCCAATGGAAAGTGAGAATTGGGAGTTTGTTTTTAAATTGTAAGGATTCAAAGTCTATTTTTGTTACTTAACCCTTCCTGCAACCCAGGTGGTTTTAGATCAACATGGCTTCAGTTCTGCTTACTCCAACATTTTCTCAGTTTAAGCAGCACAAGATAATTAAAACAACTGATTTAGTCAAAAACCTAGGTTCAAATTTTGGTTCCACCATGTACTGGCTCTAGAAGCTTGGAACAATTACTGACCCTCTCTGAGCTTCCTTACAGAATTTGATGAGAAATGAGATTTAAATCTTGGTTTGACTACTGTACTTATGATCCAAATGTTCATAACTTGCAGTATTTTTTACATTAATTTTGCTAAGGCATATATTTCAATAGTATTCATTGGGAGGCTTAGTCATCACTGTGTCTTAGATGCCTGATTCATAGTGTTACTGGGCGACATTTCCAGGTTCTTGATCTATGAAAGAAGAATCTTTTGTGGACCAGCAGAAGGAAAGGAAGAGAGAGACAGAGAAAGGGAACATGATAGGGTTTTATTACCAAGTGAAGGTCCGTGCCAAAATGCACAGGCATCTCTGCCAGAAAGAGACGGCAGGCACCCCTGACCTTTTCCATCCTCTCCGTGCTAACTCCTCATAGCTAACCTCTGCCCCTTCTCGCCCACAGGCTCTGGCTTATCCAGTCTGAAAATTTAAGAGCAGCCTCCCTGGGGTATCCTGCCTCAATAGTAGATGCTGAATAAGTGCTTCCTATTGTTAAAATAATAAATAGTAACTCCTGTGTGTAAACGTAATTTAGAAAAGGATTTTATGTTAATGAAACAGCAGGACCCCCATATTCAATTCTTTTATCCCTGGGGCTAGAGTAGGCTCAGCCATAGAGGTAGTTTTCCAGGCAAACTTGGTGGCTGAATTCCCAGAAATAGGAATATGCTTGCCTAACAGAATGTAGATAGGCATGAGGTTAGCAGGGTGGGCATATCTCTGACTTCCCTCTTTTCTCATGGTCATTTGATATTTTGAACCTTGGTTATGGGCCAGGATAACAATTATTTACATAAACATTGAGCTGTGTTTTCAGATTACTGGAACTGTGGCCTTGCTACTATCCAGACCCGGAGAAGCCAAGTGTTGGGCTGGGTCACAGACCCCACTGAAACAGAATAAGACTAGGCCTGTGAACGAACCTGACTCTATTTTCCCTGCACAGGACACTTTGTTACTTTTCCACTCCTCAGTCCTGAGACCCCTCAGGGCAAATGATTACCCCATGGGCTGCCCCAACAGAGAGATAAGAAAGGAAACAAATATTTACTAAGTTGCAAAAGGCTTATTTACTATAATTGTAAAAGTTACAAATTAACCTTAAGACTCCTTTAGGAATTCCCACCTGGGCACAAAGCATCAAGGTGACTGCTACAATGACTGTCCTGGGGTGACAATAATGAACACCATTTCCTACTGAGCATGCACCAATGACACAACCAGGAAGAACAGAATGGACCACCTCCAGTGACAATGGCCTGCCACCTCTTAACTCCTTTCCCTATAAAAGACCCTGAACAGCTCCCTAGGGGGCGGGAGTTAGCTTACTGTTGCTACCCCCCTTATGCATAAGTCTAGCTTCTCTTTTAATAAAGCGTTGCTTGCTTTACTGTTGGGGACATTGTTCATTTCTATGACTTTGGAATCCGAGAGCCTAATTTAATCACTGACAAAAATTGGAAAGCTTTGGGCATCGGAGAGGACTCTAGCTGCAAGAGGCAAGTGGCCACTGGGACTATTTTGCTCCCATTTCTCTGCTGCTGGTAGATCTCTCCTGGAGTCCTTGGCCTAAATTCTGACAAGGCAATGCTTTATTCTCTTTACCTTTCTCTGATTTTCTGAGCCCTCTTCTGTTTGGATTGTATCCACTTCTGTATAGGGGCACCCTGGAGGGCTCCTGGCTATGCTTTGTTTTTCTGATTTGAATCTAATAGATCTGCAACATAACCAGCACCACTTTAGACAAGCACAGGTACAAAATGGCACCGCCCACTTCCACCCTTCCCCTGCCCTCTTCCCTTTATGAGAAGCCTCTTGACTTAAACAGAAACCCCTTTTGCTTCAGCAAGGATGCAGCTCTCCATCCCGATCCACATTAGCATAATGACCCTCCTCGATGGTATCACCCAGCTCTTGGTGCCGACGTACCTATATAAGCTCTACCACCACCACCACCCACCTGGTGCTGTCCCCCATTTTCAGGGAAGCCCTAGGCTGCCTGCTACTTTGAGCACAGCCCAGCAGATTTCTTTCTTTGATAAAGCTTGAATGGTGCCCGGCATCTCGGCTCATTTTCTTTCAAAATCTAGTCGATACTTTTCTTCTTTATGCTGAAAACAGTGGGGAGAACCTCCTTTATCAATTACTGTTAATGGAATAGGTTGGCCCCGCCGATTAGGACTAGGCTAAACTGGACCCCACTGCTCCTCTTTTCTGTTTGTTTGCTTGGTTAGACATTTAGTTGAGTACCGGTAATCTGAAGAAACCTTCCAATCCTTGCATCAACTTTCGGACTTTCAGGTCACTTGTTTAAGGCGAGAGGGCAAGCCGAGCCTGACCTGTCGGTAACTCCACCACCCAGTCCTGTGCAGGTTGTGAGTCAGGTAAGCAAAAGAAAAACCGAGTAGCCATGGGCAAAGTAGACATGCTTTATTTCAGACGTGAGCTCCACTGCCAGCAGTTCGAAGCCAGCAGTTCGAAGCCTTGTTTTATATGCCAAACTACACAATAGTGGCAAGGACATGTTGACTCATACCCAGCCAGATATAAGTGGGGCCTGACTAAACTAACTCCATTTTTCTCACACCCCACCCCTTCAGGGTCTCTCCTCGTACAATCTATGCGTCTGTATTCTTCCACGATGTTCCCTTGGCAAGGATAGATGAGCCTTGTATGCATAGGCCACAGCCGCAATATAGGCTGCAGCAGCATGCTGCCAAAAACCCAGGCACTTCCTTCAAGCACAGCTAGCACCCATCTGCCTACCACTCCTGGAGAGGGTCGCCAGTCATTTTTTGCACAGCACGAATCTCATTTGTCAATTGCTGTAAAGCTTGAATAACATTGTAGTGATAATCAGGGATGTATACACAACATTCCGTTCCGAAGAGAGCACACACTCCACCCTGAGAAGCTGTCAACATGTCTAGAGCCCTGCAGTTTTGTAACGGCACATTTCTCATTTGATAAAGTTCCTGATCTTTTAAAGTTAAGAGGGTTAAGGCATGATGGGTTTGGTTCAGGGCTCTAGCAACATGATCTGCTAAAGCAGTTATTTTCCGTTCAGACACCAAAGCCGCTCCTTGTGGCGAAAGCAAAGCCCGTTTCACTGTATATCTAGTTTTAATGGAGTCCCAATTAGAGGGATGTTGGTCCAGTACTGCATACACTGAGGCTGGTAAATAAAGAGTGTCCCAGGTACATCTAATTGTCCAGTCGTGTGGAAGATATGGCCACCCATGAGTCCCACATACCCATAATGTTCCCTGTGGTACTGAGATCACTATTCTCTTGGGTCTTTGTTCAGTCTCATACTCTATTTCTTGACATGGGGGAGTGGGGGGTCCAGCCTATAACTTCTGTACCCTCAGTACATTCAACACACCTATCAGCCAAATCCTGAAACTCTACCCTGTCAGCTGCTAACCAAGAAAACCCATCTTGTACACTGTAACTGTCCCAGGGCTTACTAACGTTGAGGTGGGCCTTCACGTCTTTCACAATATGTTGTGTAGTACTATTCCAGATGGCAGTATGTGAAAAGTTCCAGAAAAACCCGGTCCAGTTAGCAGTTGTCATTGGAGTGATCTTCCATGGAAATCCTGCAGCCATACTGGTGGGAATTTGGTGCACACTCTGTAAGCAGAGACATTGGCTACATGTGCATATGTGTGTACCCAGTTGACTATGGTATTGGCAGCTACAAAACTGAGCAGAAAGACAAAAGAGTTATCGGCACCAAGAGGGGGAGCTCTCGCCCCTCAGGGAGAATGCATGCCAATTTACTATCTTGAGAAAGAAGGTTGTGGGCACAGGAGCCTTACCTGGTTTGTGATACCACAGCTTATCAGCTAACACTGTGGGATTTGTAGGTTCTACATGTAAAAATATAGGGGAACTCATAATCAGCCACAAGGACAAAATAAATATACCCTTCAGAATGGAACATTTCTCTGTTCCAGGCCATGTTACCTTTACTCAGGGAGGCCAAGTATTCTTGTTGGAAAACTCAATATTAAAAATTATTTTGTGCTTATGCGGCACCTCTGTGGCTAACTGAGCTTATCTACCGGGGCTCCCAGAAGTCAGCCCAGTTAATAATCA